AGTGACAATGTAGTCTAAATTCAGCAAGTAAATTTGCCTGTGAAATTTAATCCACTATGAATCTATGTTTAAGTTTGGACTGATACAATATTTGCTGACAACGTTGCTTTGGATGACAGCAACGTTAAATTACTCAAAACATGTCCACTTTTCGTCTCTTTCTTTTGCTTTCTTTATAAAAGCAGCTTTTTGTTTGGAGTCAGATTTTCATGAAATCAAATGTGAGCCAACTCTGGATCGTTAAATAGTTATCATGTTTGAACATGTTTGAACATGTTCCTATTCGTGATACATGTATATTCCACATCAGACTACAGGTGATGGCAAAAGCAGCTTCTAACTCTCTATTACATTTCATCCTCATTAAAATTAAAATATGTCTAACCTTTAAAAACAAAATACATTCACTGGCAAAATAAATATAGTTGTGCATCAATATACAATTTACATATTTGATTAATACTAATTTTATTCCATTTACCAAATGAAAATTTACAATTTGATACACATGAAAATACAAGTGTCTCATGTATCATTAAATTACACATGAATATACAAGTGTCTCGTGTATCGTTAAATTACACATGAATATACAAGTGTCTCATGTATCGTTAAATTACACATGAATATACAAGTGTCTCATGTATCGTTAAATGACACATGAATATAAAAGTGTCTCATGTATCGTTTAAATGTCATCACAATAAAAATCCAAAAAATCTGAAAATTAGATGGCTCTTACTTATATTTCGAGCTGATTATTCTTGTTAGAATTGGTTTCAAGTTGTCAAAAAAAGTACCTGCATTTCATAAATTATTAAGTTGTCAAGGTTCAAATAGTTATAGATATGTAAACCAATGATGAGATGAAAAAGAAAAAGTTTAAAAACTTTCATCTAAATCACTCACACTTTTCCAAGATTTTTGACTGAAAAACTCTATAAGCAGTAGTTTTTCACAATGACTAGATTAAAACTGACAATCTAAACAGACTAGAAACACATAAAGCTTAAAATAAAATCATTTCACATGTAATTATAAAATTATTAAAAGGACTTGCATCTGAATATCCAGGAAAATAAGTAAATAATAATAAAATTTCTAATGTCAGAATTTTCCAACAATTTTGTAATGCAGCCTTATACAGAAAGATAATGATATAAAGTCTTGAATTTAATAAATTATTTTGCATAAAGCAATAAAAAAACTCAGTAGATATACAACATTGAAAGGAATGTTCACTATGCTACTATTTAATGGATATTGGTATTTTGAAACTTTTTTTTAATTGTGACAATTATCATATTCTATCAGATAGTGGAACTTTAAACAGCGATTAGAGATCTTTTGATTGATCTAATAAAGCCTTTTGTTTATTTAAAGAATACATTGTACCTAGATTTAACACTATGGGCTCATATGTAAATCAGATTTTTTTTGGATTTTTTGAAAGATTAAGAAACTAATTTGTAAATCAAAGTTTGTCAAATTTTTTATTGGATTCAATTACTGTGACTTGACTGTTTGTGTTGCTCTCCAACTATTGCAATTTGTTTTATAAAACCAAACTGTTCAACTGGTCAGAGATTTGAACAAACTGCTGTAGAAAACCAGAGTCAAGTCATGAGGTGATTGAATAAAGCATACTAACAATCCTATAAGACTTTTAATTCCACTTCAATGATATTATGGAAAATCAGTCTAACAAGTTGTATACAAATTTTATTGGAATTGTCATGCTAGAGGTGATAGGTAGTAATTTTGAATTGCTATAAAAATGTCCAAACTAAGCTTTCATACAATTTTTCTTTCGAAAAGTCTTCTATATTCATAAGAACCAGACTTCATTTGAATTAAAACATCTTATATTCAGTAAAATATATGTGAAATTACAATACGTTGTTTATAAGTTTCCATGGGAGGTAATCAATTTTTCTTTCAAAAAGTCTTCTATATTCAAAAGAATAATAAATTTTAGGTTATCTCCCATGAAAACTTATAAACAACGTATTGTAATTTCATATATATTTTACTGAATAAAAGATGTTTTAATTCAAATTATTCTTATGAATATAGAAGACTTTTCGAAAGAAAAAAATTGTATGAAAGCTTAGTTTGGACATTTTTATAGCAATTCAAAATTACTACCCATCACCTCTAGCATGACAATTCCAATAAAATTTGTATAAAACTTGTTAGACTGATTTTCCATAATATCATTGAAGTGGAATTAGTAAAGTCTTATAGGATTGTTAGTATGCTTTATTCTATCACCTGGCACTTTCACGACTTGACTCTGGTTTTCTACAGCAGTTTGTTCAAATATCTGACCAGTTGAACAGTTTGGTTTTATAAAACAAATTGCAATTTGGTCAGAATTTTGAATAAGTTGCAATAGGTGGAGAGCAACACAAACAGTCAAGTCACAGTAATTCTATGGTAAAATATACTCATTACAATTTATCTGCCTGGAATCCTTCCAAATATAAACCCTATGCTGCTCACCATATCTCATCTCTTAAAAAAATGTTGAAAGTTCTCTTTTGAAGTCATATTATTCAACAGTCAACAGTGGAATGACTAATACAATATATTCTTCATTAAGTCTAACCCATTCAAAGATTTCACTTTGATCATAAAAGCTTCTTACAAAACATTAAACATTTCAAATGGTTCTTCATAATTGCAGTCAAAAAATAAGTTAAGTCTTAACCCCAAATTTTCTATAATTCCTATAAATGGAAAATGCCTCTATTATATACAAATGATAAATAAAAATGCTGTATACAAAAATGCCACACAATTTCAGACCTTGTCCACAACAATTAATGAATCATTCAATGCTAAGAACTATCCAGAAAACATGACACCTTAAACAGATTTGGAGTAAAAAGCAAGGTTCTCATCAGTTCAGTTCTTTGGACTACTACACTATTTTAATCAAGTATAGCAACTAAATTTATCATGAAGCCTTTGCCCTCAGTTGATTTTTTTGTCAGTAATTTAAGGTACAATTATTACTGGTGCAGTATTCTGCTATATATTAATGTCAATTAACTATGCATTCATATTATTTTTTCTTAAAGCCAAGTTTAATTTACAATGTTAGAAATTCCCAGAATGATATAATTTCTTGTATTCTAAACTTTTGGATTTTTGTCAATCTGATCATAGTAACCAGGATCTGCAGGATCCAGACTTTGCATAAATGTTCCTTGTAAGCTATCACTGCTGTCATCTGGTTTACGGTCAATGGGAGAACCAGCGTGACTTCTGTGGGCCTGAAACAAAAAGTGATGTGATTGATCCTTGCAAATAATGTCACAGTTATCACTATTCCAGTGGAGAGTTTTTTTTTAATGTTCAATGGAAAGCTAATCATAGCAATTAAGCCAAATTTTTAATAATTTTGGGTGGGAAAGAACATGCAAGTAAAAGGTAAATCATGCATTTGAAATTCATGCAAGATAAAAGAACCAATCACATCACCTTTACAATTCATTGCACCTTAAAATAGAAGTCACTGGAAATCATGATTTTCAGATTCAGTTTTTTGTTATTATTCCATTGGCAATGTCTGACTGAAGAAAGTGTTTATGCAATGACAGGGTAGAGATACTTGTAACAATATGGAAGTGTCAGTTAGTTCAAATAATGAATTTTTTCTTTTGCTTTAACTTCTTTCATTGGACAAATTTGAAGTCAAAATGACAAGTAACTTAGTAAGAAATATAAGTATATTAGAATCTGAAAATCACTGCATTCTGATTACAAAATTACCAATCTCAATAGTAGCATTAATGAATAATTCAAAACTAAAACATAAAGAACTTCGAGTGCATTTTAAAATTTTTGCAAGCACAGTATGCAAAATGAAGCAAGTGACGTAACATTATTTCATGAGTGGTCAGATGTCAGAAGATGTGTTAAATGAAAAAAAGTAACACAAAACTCAGGATTATATTAATCATATTAATAGGGGAAAAAAACAGATATAAATGAAAGTTTATATGATAAACTCTCCACTGACTGAAAACAGATTGTTAGTGCTGGAAATAAGGTGAGCTAACTAAACATAAAAGCAAGCATGATAGTTTAAAGAATTTCAAGATATATAACAGTATTAGTGTTAATGTATCATAGATATCATATTATATACCAATGGAATCAGAGAAAATATTTTTTTTTTCCTACTTGCTCACTAGTACTTTAATTATTATCTTACGTAGTGCGAGAGGATGGCTTCAGTGGTTTCCAAGCAACGAATTAACGATTAACAACCTCTGCTATAACAAGACCGGTCTTGTTATACAACTTATGAATTTTAACATTGTGTTTACCATAGACTGATCTTCAGAACTGACCTATGAGCATTGCTAAATGTAAGGTGACCTGTAAATTTGAAGATATTTACTTCCTAGCATTTCAGGCCTTCGATAGATTATCATCTCGTTGGAAATCATACTCATAGTCTTACTCATTTTTTTTAGTTTGAACTGCTTTTTACACATATCTCAACTGTATAAGGTGTGTGTTTGTGTGTCGGTGTGTAATATGCTTGTCTAGGACATGTTCAGCTGATTAATACTTATTTTGGTTAAGAATAAAAAGGAAAAATAATTCCAAATTCATTAACTGTTACACATTCCTGATACTGTAAATTCAGAAATTATTGCCATTTATAAAGAAAGGACAGAATAGTGAGAATAATAATTGCAATTTCTAGAAAATCTTAATATAGAGATATATATCATATATCAGAATGCGAGTTGTTATTATTGCGATAATCACCCAGTCACATTATTGGCATTTATAAAAACCTCACAATAATTTCTGAATTTAGAGTATATGCAAATATAAAAGGCAACTTTTCCATCAAAATGTTAGAGTAAACAAATGTGATAGGCTATGGTAATGTCTTTGTCTCAGATTCAATTTGTGCAAGGGAACAAAACATGATTTTCTGAGATAGGATCAAGGCATCACTAATTAACAGTAACTTCCAGATTTTGTGTATTTTATTTGATATTTACATGACAATGATATATCCACATTTAAGTGCTCTATTAACAAATGATGATGATAAATATAATGGTTTAACCATGTTATATTAATAGACTACTTCCTATAGCTGAAACAATGTTTAAAGTATTGACAAATAAAATCCAAGACACCTATATATTTTAACCATGAATTTAAATACCGTACCATAATGTTCAAATATCTTTATATAAAAAAAATTTAATCAAAGGCAATAACACATCAATCAATGTTTTCTACTATGACAAAATAGATGCTATTGGCAAGTTAAAAGTTCAATTTGATTATTAGAATTACTTTTTAAAGTCCAAAACATGCATGTTAAATTATTAAAACCAGTATGAAAGTGTGGTTTACACAGACAACATATTTATCTATTAATAAAACATCATCTGCCCCATCTTTTAAAATACACAGGATTAAAATTTGTAAAAATTAAATCAGAACACATTATTTATGTTGATGTTTTGATGTAAAAATCTATGTAATATGAATGACGATGTAATATGAAAAGTTGTCTAAATATGATATGGCACAATTATGTTAAATGAAACGACAAAACATATGGGCAGAGCTTAAAATTCATACCCTGATCAATAGCTCAATACCATTAAATACTCAAGATTCTCTCAAAGTTAAATCCATTCATTGGTTAAGAAGTATATAAAGTGTTGACTTGGAGGACAGAAGAATAAAAAATAATCACTATATAATAAAATCAAAAACTCTTTCTAAACCATTGGAAGAAACAAAAGATTGATTGGTTAAAAATTTGTAAGGGTTCTGCGGAACCCAGTGTCTCGCCTACTTTTTCTGTTAATCACAGGCTCAACAAAAATGAGGAAGTAAATCAATAAAAATATTCCTCTTGATACTATCTTTTGATTGTAAGAAGCTTCTGTCCAAGTTTGGTAAAAATCCAGGATAGTTTATGAATCTAATAAATGTTTAAAAACTTTAACTGCAGACTGAATGTAATGTTAACTGGAAGAAAACAAAATTTCCTTCTAGATACTAGCATTTGATCATAAACAAGCTTCTGTCCAAGTTTGGTACAAATCCAAAATAGTATAAGAAAGTTATTAAAATTTTAAAAACTTTAACCACAGAGTGAATGTGTTGTTTCCTGGCAGAAAATCTAAGTCCATTTAAAAGTAAAATACGGAAAAAATGGATTTATTTTTTTACAAAATTTCCTTCTAGATACTAGCTTTTGATCATAAACAAGCTTCTGTCCAAGTTTGGTACAAATCCAAAATAGTATAAGAAAGTTATTAAAATTTTAAAAACTTTAACCACAGAGTGAATGTGTTGTTTCCTGGCAGAAAATCTAAGTCCATTTAAAAGTAAAATAAGGAAAAAATGTTTTTTTTTTTTTTACCAAATTTACTTCTATATACTATCTTATGATCATAAACAAGCTTCTGTCCAAGTTTGGTAGAAACCCAGGATAGTTTAAGAAAGTTATTAAAATTTTAAAAACTTTAACCACAGAGTGAATGTAATATTTCCCGGCAGAAAAACGAAGTCCATTTATAAGTAAAATACGGAAAAAATGGAATTTTATTTTTACAAAATTTACTTCTGGATACTATCTTATGATCATAAACAAGCTTCTGTCCAAGTTTGGTAGAAATCCAGGATAGTTTAAGAAAGTTATTAAAATTTCAAAAACTTTAACCACAGAGTGAATATTTGTGGACGCCGCCGACTACAACGACGACGCCGACGGAATGTAGGATCGCTATGTCTCGCTTTTTCGACTAAAGTCGAAGGCTCGACAAAAATGTCTCTGAAGCACTATAAATAGCTAATTTGTTCCACACATGAGCTACCTCCTATACACTGAAATGTCAATCAAGGAACTGATCTGCCTTGTCTACATTACATGACTACAATTGTCCTTTAAATGGGGCCATCAGTAAACAGACCTCAACCTTACAACTTTTATCTATTTAATTTGAATGACAGTTTAAACTCTATCTAAACCTGGATTTTTGCCTTAAAATTGCTATGAATATATGCAACATTAAAGATTATTGCTAAAACCCAATATAAATCTGTAGCATAAAATCTACCTATTCTTTTTTTAGTTTTTTTTTCTGTGATACATGTACCATATTTCCTGGTCTGACCCGATTTTTACTTTGATGTAAGATGCAAACAAAAAAGTTGATACCATTTGCTTATGACCTTCTTCTTCTATAGGATCTCTAGGCTTTGAAATATCTTACAATAGTCATTCATTATTCAGTTTGAAAATGTTCATCTCAGTTGTTATTTTTCCAGAAGTCCACCCTGTGAGAATTGTGTCAAGTTTGATGCATCACATTAAAAAGATTTAGCACTCTCTTTGATTTCTTACTATCAATCATATTTTAGTCTTCCATTGAGGATGGTGGACAAAAAAGCTTGATATAGCACTACTGCATATAGTTGCATTACTTAAGTTATATAGAAAGATAAGCAATTTTTTTCAGAGACAAAATGTGTTAAATGTGTGCCAATGCTAGCAGTCACGAAGTTTATTTTTGTAGTTCCTCAGCTTAAATCCTGGGAATGAGTCTAGACAATAGATAAACTGTCTCCAAAAATTTACCTGTAATTGGTTGATTTTAAGGGCATTATATTCATCATTCGTCTTTTGACATTATTTACAGAATAATTTTATGTTTGTATATCAAAATTCATAAGTTATCATTTCTATATATCAAATATCTAACTGATCTCTTGAGATCAAGAATTGTGTAGAGTTGTGTAATAAAATTTTGTCTACTAAACTATGAAATGTAAGGTAATTTGTTCAACTAATATTGGCTTAAAAGACAGGACATTCAAATTTAAAAGTCCACATGTGTATCTAATTGTTTGTTGATCATGACATTTGCCAATCAAGCTGGTATTATATCAGTAGTGTTACTTAATAAAGTAAATGCTCCGCAGGGCGCAGCTTGATATGACTGCTAAAATTCATCCTTGATCTGTGTTTTGTGGTAATAAGCATTGTGTATGAGATTCATAACATTTGCTTAAGGCAAACTTAAGTTAGAGAACAGAAACAAAAAATTCAGCAATTTTTCCATTTGTAAAGGGGCATAACTCTTGAAAGGTAAAAGTGATGCCACCCAAATTCAAACTTGACCTGTGTTTTTTTGGTAATAAGCATTGTGTATAAGTTTCATAGCATTTGGTTGAGGGAAACTAAAGTTAGAGAAAGGAAACAAATTTTGGGACATATGGATGTAGGGACGTACAGACAGACAAGGGTAAAACTTAATGCCCCCTTTTGTGGTTGTATAAAAACACCAAACTAGCCAGCAATTGACAAAACTAATGACAAACATACTTAAATACACTGCTTTAAAGATATAACCAATTACTTTAAAGTTCATTTGTGCATATTTACATAGACAGAAATTGTTGGGTACAATATTCCAGTGGCTTCATAGGTATATCCTAGTGGGTGAGACAGATGCCTAAGGAAAAAATTGGAACAAAAGTTTATATCTTTCAAAAAAAAATCCAGACAAATCTATACCACATCACATATGTCAGTCAAAACTTTCTGTAATTGTTCCAAATTAAAAACTATTTTTGATTCATAAGCTGACAAAATTTGATATTACCCAATGACTCATTAAGATTGAATTCAGTTCAATCACATGTAAACTAATGTTTTAAATAGCAGTTGTATCAGATCTTGGAGACATAAGCCAATGAATGGTCCCTCTTAATTATGAAATCACATTGGCACAATTCCCTTTAATAGCAATTACAGCACCCTCTCAGCAAACAACAAAATATGCTATTTTTATATCAAAATATGAATGACATGATAAAATCTTCTCCAGGTAGCCAGAATAGTCTTGTTTACTGTAGCTGAAATTGACAAGGAAATGATACATTGACTCAGTCTTGTTCTTTTTGTGTTTGGATTCCTATATAACATGGGAAAGAGACTACACACTAACATGCATCAACGAACAGATTAACAGACATACAATGTTTATGATGTCTTAATTTTTTTTTTTAAATTATGCCAAAAATAAACTCGTGTAATATTTGAAGTAACTTTAATTTTATATCTCCAATCACATTAAATGTTAAATATTCATCAGTATCGAAGGCAACCCGATTTGTAACATGATAAAGAGAAGGGTAAATGTTCATGCAATAAACAACAACCATTCTACAACATAGCACTGTCAACAGTTTGATAGTTGAAATGAGCCACATTATACTACATTCCTGGTTAACAAGACTAAAAGGATATCGTTAAAGGATATCCCATCTCTACACTATACAATAATGAAAATGTGTAGTCTTAATTAATCTATATCCTTGTTTTAAAACATTATCCATTTCATAAACTTTCTTTTTTTATAACCTTTTTCAGTTTATCACCGATATGATTTTAATTCATTAGACGTCTTGGTTTGTTGAACACACCTTTAATCATGACAATATATTTACATGTACAATTTTAACAGTAAAACATGACAAATGAAAAGAATTTTAGTATATTGTGACTACATTTCTCTAAAAATTTCATTGTGTATTTTAACACACACAACTCTATATCCCTCCCTATTTCTCTTTTTAATGTTTCTCATGACTCAGCTACGCGGTGAATGCAGTACCTGTGAAACCTGTGGCTGGTCGTAGGAATTATGCATGCTGTCGTTACTGTAGCCTGCCGACTGAGGCATGACATGCCGTAACGTATTCACCTAAATATAGAATACAGGTTATCAGTCATGCAGAAAATATATCTCAATTAGCATAGATTTTTGTAATTTTTTTTCTTTTAAGAACAAAAATGAAGTCTTCAATAAGTCTATTTTTCCCCCTTTTCTTTTTTCCAAATATTTGATTTTTCTTTTCTGATAAATAAATTATTACAAAACTGAGATATGTTTGTAAAATACAAATCATTCCTATAGATACATAGATACAACATTGATAACATATATATTCTAGTTTTGTGGCATACAAGACTTTTTTTTCACTTTTACTGGATATCATATGGTCAAAAAGTTCAGGCAAACTGGATAACTTTAAAAATTAAAAATCTTTTTATTCAGATATAAAAGTTATTTATACAACATGCATGTGTAATTCCTTCAGCTGTTCAAACAAGTAAAAAACAAACTGAATATTAAAAATCCATTTAATAACATAAAAATTTGATTTGACATAACATGATAAATGCGTTACAACAAAAATCTGAAGATTTTAAAGTTATTTTTACAAAAATGTGCTTGTTAATTTCCAGGCAAGAAAGTCTATCTCAATAAATTCATACAAGTCCAAAGGTTGGAGACGATTTCACATAAAACCACCATCTTCAACCTACAAGGAATTCAAAAGCAACTAGTTAGGTCAGGTTTTTAGGGTTATTACTCAAGTCAGAAAAGAGGTTATCTCCCCAAAAAAGCCAGAAAAATCACAGCATGCCACAAAACCAAAGATAACAATACAACATAAAAAGACTTGTATTTTAGCAAACTGTTTTCCCTTGATAATTTTACCATTAAAGGTATCCTGATCTTATCTAGAATGAATTTTCAGAGGATTTATTATAAAGTTAGATTTACCCTGAGGCTACAAATTTCAAACAAAACACTATTTGAAAATTTTCTTGATGCAAGACACTTTAATTCCTCAGGAGAACACAATTTTAACCAGATCAATTTTATTCCTATTAACTGTTTCATAAATACTGTTATCATTAACAAATAATGTTTCTATGAGCTGAACTACAAGTCTTCTCATGAAAATATAATCAAATCAATACTTCCATGCAACTTACAAATCTAAATGATCATATTACATGGTGTACCAAATTAGTTTACACATCATCAATAATGCAGTAACTGTCAAAATGTTAATTATCAACATTCACTTTTTAAATGAAAGTAATGAAGACAACACATTTTTTTCTTAATCTGATAATTTTGACAGCTACAAGAATTAATGATACATGCCAAAGACATGCAAAGTATAACAGATTATAGACAATACACTTAATATTCAGCAAGCACAACAGAAAACTACTAAGTTTCTCAGATTGCCATGGGCAGGGATGATTTGGCTTTGAAAATAAATTATCTAAAAATAATTAACTTTTATCTTAATTCACCTCCATCCCCTTTCGAAAATGTCAATTACAAATTACCTCACTAAGTCAACCAAATTTTGAAAAATACAAGGAAATTAACCGACCTCAGTTAATTTAATACTGATAAAAATCATCCCTGCAATGGATAGTCTTTTTTTTTATTTGTATAGTTGTATGGTTTTTAGGTTGTGTCTGAATTTATGATGCAGCTTTTTATGTTATTTTTGTTATTTGTTAATATTTCCTTTGTTCTGTTCTGATGATTTCTGATATTTCCTTCGATTTGTCTATATTCTAATTGTTCAAAAATCCATTATTTGTTGGATTGTCTGCCTTTCAAAAATATCATAGAATAATAATTATCAGGCTGCAGTTTATGTTCATTTTTTAACCCCTTCCTTCCTTAATAACTGCTCTCTATCAGTAGTTGAGTATACTTACCGAGTTATCACTACTTTGGTAATTATCGCCATTAAGATTCATATACATTCCACCCCCTCCCATTCCAGACTGCGATGAACCAAGGTTGTAACCTGCTGCACCTAAAAACATAAAAACTTTAAATAAACTGAATAAACACAGGTCACCTGTCTTTTTAAAGCTGTCTTTTCTTTTCACTTTTTAAATATTTTTCAAAAATTTATTTCAAATTAAGGTCATTTTGTTTCAAGAAGCTGAAATGTATTGCTTAACTCAAATTTTGTACATTCATGTGTTTAGGAATGCCTACAATTATAGTAAATGACACCATTTTTATTCATACATAAATTCACATCAAAACATAAATACTATCATTTCTGAATTTTTTAGAAACTGTTGACTATTCAACATATTGAAAGAAAAAGTATTATTCAAAACATAATTTTGAAAAGCCATAAAATGTGCATTTTTATGATGATCTATGTAATTAGAAGATGGCCAAATTTCCCCGTGAAATTGTTTTTTAAAGATCATTCAAATCGTAATCTGAAGCATAATTGTTTTATTGTGCACGCAATATTAATACATAAATTGCAAATAGTCCTAAGAAATAAAATTATAAATCAACTCCAAAATGAATTTGATACATTAAAACTTTTGTCATAATTTGACTTAATTTGGTGGTAAACTGTTCAGAATGTTTCATTTAAAACTAAATAGATTTATCTCCCTTAGATCACCAATCATTAAGAATATTTCAATGTTCTTCTTACTGTCGTAAGTTATAATAGTTTTACATTATTGCTCTTATATTAGAGACTGCCATGTCACAGTTTAACCGAGTTTTCTCTCAAAGAACGAGATCCATAAACGATAAAAATAAATGGGGAATGTGTCCATGGGACACAGATGATGCCCCCGCTTGCATATCATATAAAAGTTATAAAGGGACATAACTGAAGAACGTTAAGTGACGCTACCCACATTTGTACTTGATCTGAGTATTGTGGTAATAAGTATTGTGTATAAGTTTCATAAAATTTGGTTGAGGCAAACTAAAGTTAGAGAACGGAAACGAAAAATTCAGCAATTTTTCCATTTGTAAAGGGCATAACACTAGAACAATAAAAGTGACACCACCAAAATTCAAACTTGATCTGTATTTTGTGGTAATAAGCATTGTGTATAAGTTTCATAGCATTTGGTTGTGGCTAACTGAAGTGAAAGAACGGAAGCGAAAAATTCAGCAAATTTTCCATTTGTAAAGGGGCACAACTCTTGAAAGGTTAAAGTGACGCCACAAACATTCAAACTTGATCTGTGTTTTGTGATAATAAGCATTGTGTACAAGTTTCATAACATTTGGTTGAGGCAAACTAAAGTTAGAGAATGGAAACCAACTTTGGGATGTACAGACTTACAGACGGACAAGGGTAAAACTTAATGCCCCCTCTGCTATGGCGGGGGCATAAAAATACCTTCCAGGCCAGATGAATTCTACTTGTAATGTTCATTATTTCTTAACCAGTTAAAAGTGTGAAAATTTATGAAAGTGCCACCAAGTATTTTAAGTCCCTGGAGGTATTGCACAGGCTACGCTACGACAATTACATTTAGCAATCTAGCAATTATTAAGACCAAAATAATGGCTTGTGTTATACTTTCAAATTTTTATTTAAGGTGGCTTTATTCAGTTTTTTTTTTAAAGATTTCCAATTAACAAGCAATAAAATAATGCAGTCTCCTAGAGTATCAAGACTATTGATATCCAAATGGATGTTTTCCAAATCTTACCTTGACCATCATGGCCACCAACATTAGCTGCAGCAGCAGCAGCCGTCTTTGCAGCATACATATTTGCCTCTTCTTGGGCTTTACCTATATTCTTCTTGTATCTAATTCTTTTATTACCAAACCAATTTGAGACCTGAAAGGTATAATGAAGCTGTTAGTACGAAATTTCATATTATAAATTTAAGTCCCAACAGATGTAATCAAAGTGTCTACATTGTAAGCACTTAGTACTTTGAATTCGCATTGTGAGTTTTTTTTTCACCTTAAAATTAAACACTTCATTGTAGTAAGCAAAGAAACATCTTAGCCAATATTGCAATTTGAGTTATTTCCCTTAGTCCATTGTAGTTAATCCAGTAAGTTAATAAAAGTCATAATATATTTTTTTTTTCAAACATTTATAAAAACTGAATATAGTAATAATATTTCACTTATAGCAGTGAGATTGGTTCAACAAGTGAAACTGTGAGCTACTGATCACTGATGATACCCCCGCCCAAATATTTTGGTAAACAGGAAAGTGTTGAGTGATGAATCTGAAAACGCATCACACGGTATAGATGACTTATATAAACCTGAAACCAAATTTCAGAAATCCTTGTATTGTAGTTCCTGAGAAAAATGTGACGAAAATTTTCAACTTGGCTATCATGTGTAAAATGATACAAGTGTTCAGTAAGCAGGAAGTTGTTGAGTGATGAATCTGAAAGCGCATCACACAGTATGGCTGACTTATATAAACCCTGAAACCAAATTTCAGAAATCCTTGTAATGTTGTTCCTGAGAAAGATGTGACGAAAATATTCATGGGACGGACAGATGGATGGATGGACTGACGGATGGACAGACAGACAGAGGTAAAACACTTTTTTAAAGCGGGGGTATAATAATTAGGTCAAATAGGTCCAAAAACATCACTGATGTATTATTGACTTGCAAGTCAATAATTCAACCTCATTTGCATTGACTTTGTATTCAAGTAACCTTCATTATAACCCTAAGCTGAAGATGGGTTGCACATGAGCACAGCACGTTAAGTTATTGGAAAGAAAAGAATGTCAACATTGAAAAGTGAAACAAGGGAGGCAATAGGAAGAATCAAAATCATCCTTAGGTGAATTTCTCGTCTTCAATTTAAATTTGTTTTTTACCTGCATAGGATAATTTGTTCTTAAATAAGTTAATAACATACAAATCTTAACAATTACCGGTAAGCGTCTTTTAACTGTTAATAATCATAGAAACAGATGGAAACAATCCAAATATACCAATTTTGTAATTTTTACCTTCTATAATGAAGAGCTTATTTTCATGTTTCAATTTCAACTGGAAATTTGTGTGGTGTGTATTAACAGAAAACTCCAAATAGAAAAGCATTTGATATATAGCTAAAAGCAAGAGGTTACAGGAATATGATGGTGCATTCTTTATCACCCCCTCCCCTTCTCCCAAAATAAAGAAAATCGTAAATAAAGTAGATCAGTAGGATTTAAAGGTTTGTATTTTAAAATGACAGCTGCCACAATCCAGAAATCCTAAAAATACTCAGTTCACTGACCTCTTAAATTTTGCAAATAAACTCCCAGAATAGATTTCTTTAAATAGTAATTAAACAAGAATTTTAATTTTAACCTATTGCTCAATGAAACAAAAGGCAAGTTCTTAATTTTACTTTTTCTTTCTATCTTATTAAGAAATTTCTTTTTGTCTTTCTTTTCATCTTACCTAGATATAACTTTTTCCTTTCTATATATTTTATTTAGATATTACTTAGTATTTTTTTAGTTCAAGATCTGGTTTCACACCAAGTACAGTTTCTATGAGTCAAACTATTTAAAACATTTTAACTGTTATCAGTGAATGTAGAATTGTCTATTTCTACCTTCAAAATGACATAAATTATGTAGAGGCCTCATATGGGGTTGTATATATTTTCAAAATCAATAAGAAGGAGGAAGTTTCTGGCATTTGGACCCGAAATACATTTAGACTGATAAATTTCTTTTTTATTTAAACTAACTTTCTTTTCCCTTTAATCTAAAATCTCTGCATTCTGCCTTTATATTAATGATCTTCTCATATTGATTAACATGTTTTCTGTTAAAAAAACCTGTATTTGTACAAACTATTTAATGTCAATAGAATGGCAAAATGTAATTACCATTGAGTAGATTAACCTGTTTGTAACAAAATTTTTGGACTAAGTGAACATTTTTACACAATCTTTACAAACATACAAAATATCCTCCACAAAGAACCCCAAGGATGCCCTGCAACTTAGAAAACTGATATAGAAGTCACATGACTAGATGTCAGCTATGACTGATTTGCCTGTCAGAATCACCCCATTTAATTCCTTCCCTTGAAAGCCCCAAGGAAACTTAATCTTCATCTTAAGACCTGTAATTATGACCTCTATTTAAACCAGACAAAAAAATCTGCTAAAATAACCTTCAATTTGCTTGTGAAACTGAAAACTTATCATATCATCCAGTTGTTGGATAATGCTTTTTCAATGGAGGGGTATCTGTAGGGACGAAGTATCAACTGATTTTGATGTTCAAAGCAACCAGTTTTATTGAACTTACATTATTTCAATGCTTATCATGTTTATATCCTGAAATCAGACAAAATAGAAGAAAGTACTGTCAAACGGAAAAAATACAGTATTATATACCTTAATAATAACTAACTATGATTTTCATAGGTTTCTTTTGTTACCACTTATTTTCTTTGCTTTAAAACAGGTAATTTGAAGAATAAACTCCCAAGTACAATGCTGACGATACATGTCATTCACAACACCCCTAGCTTTTTGTTGTATATGGCTAATAAGAAGTACTTCAAAACCAAAGCAATTGTAATTCACCCCCACTAAACCTGGGATAGATTCATAATTGATGTACAATTAAACAGCATACATTGCACATTTACACAAATTGGTAAGTTCTCAACAATACTACTTATTTTCCCCATTATACAATTTCTTATCGCCCTTCAAATAAAATGAAATGAAAAGTGAATATAATCTGTTCAGTATCAGTTAAATCTCGTCTCCAGTTTCATTTTAATCAGGTGTTGAATAATAACACCTTTTTCAAATTGCTTTTAAAATTTTGATTTCTTTTGTATTACTTTCCAGTATTTAACATTTACTTCTTCGTTTATTCAGGGTATATACAGACTTCCATTATTTCCCACAATGTTATTCTGACTTATAAATGAAACATGAAACCTACATAGTGTTTTGTTTAATTTTCTCTGATTTTATTATAAATTCTCAACATATTTTGTAACATTTTTTTTCATTAAATCTTTTAAGTAAGCATGCAAATCTTCTATCAGTATATTATAATATTATTTCATTCTTATATCTAATTATTATTTTGAATTGACAATAGTCTTTTTCGTAATTTATTTTCACTGTTAATCATTAACATGGTTAAAGCTGTAAAAAAAGTATGAACTATTTAACCAATGTATTATATATATGAATGCCATTGTTGTCTATATGATTTGTGCAAAAACCTATGTTTGTCCAATTTATTGGTAAATGAGCCATTAAAACTAAGTTTATAGCAATGTAATGGCAATTCTTCACCTTACCACATTCAGTCATGTGTAAATATGGAAACTATACAAAGCAAGTAACCAGATCAAACACTGACAGAAAATTTACCATATACCTTTACTTAGGGTGAACTTTCATACACATAACTGGGATCTGTAGATAGTTATATTGAGAGATTGTTTTTTACAATTTTATTCACACTGAGGTACTTATATATTTCATAATAAAATAAACATGTACAATTGTCTCCTTTGTACCACATTTGTAATCAGATTGGGTTTGGTAAATGTTGATATAAAAAATAATATCCTTTTTTTCAGTTAGATTTCCAACACAAGTGGAACAGAACAGACTCAATAGCAAATATATAATCTGTTAGTTTATTTATTTATTTAAAAATTTACTCAGTTGAAGAACCAGTCTTGGACATTCTGGTGTTCTTGCAACAAAAAAATATGTTTTAAGTAAGCTGAATTATTTGTACAAATTATAAATTCTTATATGAAGTAGCAAACATTTATACAATATAGACTAAATGAATAGATCTTTTAATCATCACATGCATTGGTTTGATTACTTAAAATGTATCCAATTACCTTTCAAAAAGTAATCATGATTACAGTTTACTTCAACTAGTTTCAGTTTGTACTTGCATATATGTCCATATTTTTACCTATTTCATTTATGAAGAACAAGTTTACATTTTCCTTGAAAATCTAAACCTTTCCCAGAACAATATTTTTTTCTTCTTTATCTATGTGTAAATAGTCATGAACCTTCTTTTTGCCTTTAAGTGTTTACCTGTATATAATGTTTAGCACACACCTTTTTACATTACAGTATTTGTGCAAATCTATTTGTAAAGAAAAATAGCTTTGCAAGATATAGTGAATTTATTTTTTTCAAAAACTATTCCTTTCATAATTTTACACATTATTTATATAAAAATAAAGAGATGTGGTATGATTGCCAATGAGACAACTCTTCACCAGAGACCAAATGATGTGGTAGTAAGCAACTATAGGTCACTGTACAGCCTTCAACAATGAGCAAAACCCATACTACACAGCAAGCTATAAAAGGCACCAAAAAGACAAATGAAAACCAATTCAATCAAGAATTTTTTAGTTCATTTCATAATTTAGCTCCAAAATATAAGTTTGGTAAAAATACTTATCGTTATCATAAAAATTGAAAAAAAAATCCCTCTTGTACAAACTGAAGTAACATGACATACATGTAGATCAAAATCACATGTTGGATAAATATCAATGCATTGCATTTGGAAAACATGATTCAATTGATATTTTAGGTTACTTGAATTTACACACCAATGCCTCACCTGATTATTTGATAATAAAATTTGCTGAAACTGTTGGTTTTCCTATTCTCATGGAAATTAAATATTTCTTTAATAAGTCATTTATATGACTGAGTCTTTGTGTACAGATCATAACCCGAACAAATAAACACTACCAGCAATTTTAATTTTGTTGTCATTTTTATGGTCTCCTGTACATAGAAATGGCCAATTAAAGGTTTTTTAAATTTTGAAATTGGTA